CACAATCCCGGCAGCACCTGAATGAAGTCCTGGCAGTCAGTGTGTATTTACCAGGACTCTATAGTTAATTCATCTCTGATGAAAGCCACTCCTGCAGTCCGCGTGAAGGAGCCCAGCAGCATGACAAACATGCTCTCAGAACACAAAAGAACCCAAGAGGACATTCAGTACAGAAGGTACAGGGGAGGGCTGACAGCTGAGACTCCCGGAGAAACCATGGGATAGATATCCCTACAGTTCAAATCTAACAAACTAGCTTCTGAAAGTAAATTTGTCTTATAAGCCCGATGTCAGAAATTCCATCACTGGTTCTAATTCAGAGCCTCAACTGGCACTCAGGCTGGAGAGATGAGGAATTGGGAAGACTTTTAACGCTCCTTAGAAACAAGGATGGTGGTACTCTGAACATGTCAGTAGGTGCCAGTTGCTGGAGAAATACATCACACTTGGTAAAGAAGAGGGCCTGTGAAAAAGAGGCAAACTCTCAATTAGAAGGACTGACACAGTAACTAAAGTGTGGGCATTAGCCCAGCAGACATTGAGGATGGAGCAGGACTGGGCAGGGCAAGGTTTTGTACTGCTGTACACAGAACTCGCAGGAGTCGGAGCTAACAGAACAGTACCTATTAAGAAGTCAGGAGGTGAGTGCTGCTCTCCGCTCCTTCCTTCTCTCCACTGCAAAGGATTCTCATTTTCCAAAAGCTCTGCTTGGAACTTCACAGAGATCAGAGCAGCATGACTGTGGGAAGGAGTGTCTCCCAGCTCATCTTGGGGACCAAGAGCTCCACAATCTGGCTTGACTCTCCCAGCCCCTCCATTCGACAGGACACTGACATTCAAGATGCAGAAATGTGCTCAAGGTAAGCCAGTAGTGCTCACTCCAATCCAACGTGTCTGCCAGTATACTAACTATCCTCTCCTAGAACCTGGTATTTGTGGCATCATAGTAAAATAGATAGTCATGTAAAATGTGATTCAGAATGCAGAAAGAGCTAATACAACTTACTTTCACAGAAGAAAAAAAATCACACAAATAAACACCATTTGGTGTTACTTAAGAAGTAGAAACAGACTGAATCAGGGTAGGGTGGGAGAGGGAAATAAAGAAGAAATATGAATGTGTAAAGGCATAAAATAATGTATGAGCAAGAGTCTGTGGTGATGAAGGAAGAAGTTAAAGTTGCTTTGAAAGAATTGACAAAAAACAAACCCCCAGGAATTGATGGCATACTGAATGACGTATTTCAACAGACAGATGTAGTCCTGGATGTGATCACCAAATTGTGCCAAGAAATCTGGCGTCTGGTCAATTCACTGAAAGAGGTCTATATTTGTTCCCATTCCAAAGTAAGGTGATTTGACAGAGAGTGGAAATTATCAAACAGTATCACTGATATCACATGCAAGCAAGATTCTGCTGAAGATTATCCAAAACCAACTGGAACAACAAATCAATAGAGAATTATCTGAAGTGTAGGCTGGATTTAGACGAGGTTGTGGCTCTGGGGATATTATAGCTAATGTCAGGTGGATCTTGGCTGAAAGAAGAGAGTACCAGAGGAATCTCTATCTGTATTTCATTGATTATGCAAAGACATTTGACTGTGTGGATAACAACAAATGGTGGCTGACTCTGAGAAGAATGGGAAACCCAGAACACTTGGTTGCGCTTATGCGAAACTTATACTTGGACCAGGAGGCAGTCGTCAGAACAGAGCAAGGAAACACTCTCTGATTCAAAATTGGAACGGGTGTGCGTCAAAGTTGTGTCCTATCTCCATATCTTTTCAATGTATATGAGGAACAGATTATCCAGGAGGCTGGGCTCTTTGAAGAGAAATGTGGCATCAGGATTGGAGGTAGACTCATCAACAATCTGTGTTCTGCAGATGACAAAACACTGCTTCCTGAAACTGAGGAGGACCAGAAGCGCTTGCTGCAGAAGGTCAAGGACTGCAGCCTTCAATATGGATTGAAGCTCAATATCGAGAAAACAAAGATTCTCACCACTGAGCTAATCAGTAGTATAATGATAGATGGTAAGAGACTGATATTGTCAACAGCTTCAGTTTGCTGGGGTTTACAATCGACAGACACTCTTGGTACCAGCAGCCAGTAGATTAAAAGACGAATTGCATGGGAAAGTCTGGTGACAGAGACCTCTCCAAAGTACTGAAGAGCAACTATGTTAGTCTGGAGACTAAGGTGCACCTTACTGGCCATGGTCTTTTCAATTACTTGCTATGCATCAGAGAGTTTGACAGTGACTAGGAATGATAGAAGGAGAGGTAATGCCTTTGAGCTGTGGTGCTGGAGAAGAGTATTGAATAACCCATGGACTGCTAGGAGAACAAACAAGTTAGTCCTGGAGAGGGTGAAGCCAGGCTTCTCCTTGGCGGCAATGATTCTGAAGCTTCTTCTGACATACTCTGGATATGTTGCAAGGCAGGATCAATCCTTGGAGAGGGACATCATGCTTGGGAGGTGGAGGGACAGTGCAAGAGAGGAAGACCCTCAATGAGATGGATTGATTCAGTGACTGGGGTAACGGGGATAGGTGTGTTGGAGACAATAAGATTGGCAAGGCATAGAGTAGGGTTTAGGGCTATTGTACATAGGGTCGCTATGAGTCGCAGGCAATTCGATGGCACATAACAACAAAGGCAGATTTAAGATACTGGATATTTCCTTCATAGCATGATTTAGTCCTGATCGAAATACAAATTTTTTAACAGAGAACACAAGGTTCCAGGTGAGCAAAGACATGACCTTGTGTCTCTTTCCCTTCTATTATCCATGAACACTGAACTGAGAGATAGCGAAGCTCTTCCCAGCTCTGAAGCACGATGCTTTGCTACACCAGGTGCAATGAACGCTCGAAACTTCTGCCTTCACACTCCATTGTAACAGGCCTGACAGGGGGTTGTTAGGAAACTAAGAGGAGATAAATAATGAACACTGCATTGGAACAGATGAAGGAAATAACTGTTTAAAAGGATATGATTAGGCATTATACGTACAATAGCCTAGAATAAGAGGTACATTGCAAAGAGGACTGGGGGAAAGGGAGGAAGGGAAGTAATTGTGCAACAGTGTTGTTATTATTGTTGTTGACTGCCGTTGAGTATGACTCATCTCATACTTTATGAACAAAAGACCTAATATCTTTCCATAACTATCGGCATTTCTCTAAATTCATAGGTTTTGCATAGGCATGTGGTTTAGGTAGTGGATGCCACTCCTTGCTTCCAAACCTGTTTTACAACCGGAAGCTTCACCAAACACTGTCCACATGGGCAAACCATTACGGTATTTGATACCTCAATGGCACAAGGTATAGCATCACAGTAAACCCAGGTTACCTCTGTACAAAAAACTGACGAAGAGTAATGTACAAAGTAGAGAGTTCCTCCAGATAAAACACACTTAGCAGTAGTTAAGTGTCATCAAGTTGAATATCATGCATAGCAACCCTATGAACAAAGGACCTGAGCTCTGTTCTATAATTAACATCATTTCTGTTTGTTTATAGAGTTTCCAGAGGCATCCGGTTTAGTAAGTGGATGCCACTCCTGCTTCCAAACATGAATCAATCTGAAAGCTCCTCCAAATACTGTCCATGATGGGTAATGATTATGGTATTTGACAGGATTATGGCTCAGTGTTCAGCATCACAACAACTCCAAATTATTCAGTACAGCAAAAAGACAAATGACTGCTGTACCACTTAAAGAATGTTTATTCTAAAATTAATAAATGTATTAATAAATTAATAAATCCCTACAGAATATTAAAGATACACTTTTAATAGGCCTGTACCCTTGAGTTGGCCAAAATGGGGGGCAAAAGTCCAATTGACACCTGCTTGTGTGGGGGAAATCAATATCACAAATCAAACAGAACCCAAAACTTTGCTTATTTGTCCTCCATCAAGATGCAAGAAACCAACATGTAACAGTGAACGAATATTTTAAAAGGTAAAAAAGTGAACTGAGGAGAGGGAAGGGATGGAGAGGGGGTAAAATGTGTGCAACAATGACTGAATGGAAATCTAACATTTCTGTAAACTTTTGCTAAAATCACAATTAAAAGAAAAATTTTATTTGAAAAAATGTGTGTTCAAAGAAGGCAGACCTGAGTGAGTTAAGGAAGGGAGAAATCTTACCATATTCCTAATCATGTCTTAAGGCACCTCTCAAATGTCCACATCTCCGTGGAATTGTTCTTTTTTTTCTTCATCATATACATACACACCTTACATCAGGTGACACAAATTATTTAAATATCCAGAATCTAGTATAGGGTGTGGAACAAAAAACTCACTATGTTTTATAAATGAAGAAGTCAAGAAATCCTATTGTAATGCTTGCTTTAAATACTTACTGGCAAAAAGAATTTGCTAAAATCGAGTTTTGTGTTTTTCTCAAACAAACCAAGGCCATGGATCACCTACTTCAAACTAAACTGTCATTGATTAAATATATTAGAAAATAACTTTAAAACATAAACATACTAGAGAAAAATATCATTTTTCAGCTTAAAAAATAACAGTATACATTTCATTCTAAGAGCAGAGCTGCCTCCTTTCCATGAGATAGTTTATATTTTAAGGGGAGAAGCCATAGAAGACAGAAATCCTGTGGGCAGCAGAAATTAGTAGGCAGATGGTGGTCAGGGGAGTGTATTTGAAGGAATAGGCAAAGTGCACTGGGGATTTGATGAGGCAGGTGATAAAAGGCACTGATCAATTCATTATATAAAACACAATATATATGAATGTACAAAAACAAGAAAAATATTAAAACCCAAGTCTTGTGATTTTGTAATTAAAGGTGTATGTAGCATTAACTTTGGCTTCTTGTCCTGGATGCTGACAAAATTGAGTAGAAATAAGAGACTGATTCACATAACTGAGAATCCCCACACCAAGCCTAGCATCATGCGATCAGTTAGTATCTGTCTCCAAAGTCAAGTCAAAGTGCATGACAGAAGCAGCTCACCTTCTTTAACATTCAACCGTGAGGATTGGTCTGTGTGAGAGGTTGTATTATAGGCCAGCAGTGAACCTGGAAAACAAAGCAAAAATTTAATATAGAAAAAAAATAAAATAAAAAATTAATAAAGAAATAATAGAAATAATAAATAAATAAATAAAAATAATAAACGAATGAATGAATAAATAAATAAATTCTGACATGAACAGCTGGAGATAGGAAGAAGACAAAAGGAGAAGAGGTGCTTGTTGTTGTCGTGAACTATCGAGTCAGAGCCAATCCACAGTTGAACCTCCAGCAGGTTTCTGAGGCAGTAATCACAGAGAAGGAGACTATCCATCCTTTTCCTGAGAAGCAGTAGGTGGATTTGAACCAGGTGCCTTCAGGATTGTAGTACAGAGTCCTCCTACCACTAGGCCACTAGAGCTCCCTAATAGCTGCTTAGGATACAATAAGACCCTGTAAGGATAATGGGACAATTTGGAAACAGCTAATGGGTGAAGATCACAAAACAGGTTCAACACAGTTGTTAGGTGCCACGCAGTTAGTTCCAACTCCTAGTCAGCTTGTGTACAGTAGAACAGAACACCACCATTCTACACTAGCCTCACACTCTGCAGGTTTTAATTCACTGCTGTGGGCACTATTAGTCTATTTATTGATGGTTTTCTTCTCTTCTGACCCTCGACAAAGTCTCACTATCTTGGTTTCTAAGGAGCATCTTTAAAAAAAATTATATTGGTTTGCTTATAAAGTTCATATACATTGTGCTTCACACTATTCTTTATTCATATTGTGTTCCATACAATTACTCCCATGCATCAGGGTTTATAAAATTAATTACCATTAGACCTTGCCCATCATTACCCTGTCTTTTCAGGTCCCCTCTGGAGTCTTCCCATTTCTTTCACCCCCTCCCTCCAACCACAAAATTGTGCAACCCATCCTCACCCCCTGCTCCCATACCTTCCCTCCTTGATTCTCCACACATGTTTTCCTAGTTATCCTTCTATTTTTACAATAATGGTATTATGTAGCGTTTGTCGTTATGAGGCTAAATTTCTCAATCACTTCAGTTGTGGTTGGACATTGGGCTGTTTCCTTATTCTTTCAACGGTGAATCATAATGCTGCTATGAATTCTGGTGTACAAATCTTCATTTGTGTCTCAGTTCTAATCCTTAGGGTATATTCCTAGTAGTAGAATATCTAGGTTATACTGAGTTTCTATGTTCAGCTTTTTGAGGAAACACCAAATTGTAATATCATCTCAGACAAGGGTCTCCTAATGAAAGTTTACAGAATATTAATGGGCCTCCAAGAAAAAGACTGATAACTCTATTACCAAATAGACAAAAGACATGGAAAGACTTCACAGAGGAGTATGTTCTTAAGACCAATAGAAACATGAAGAAATGACCAAAATCCCTGGCGATAAGAGAGATGCAGATCGAGGTCACAATGAGATATAACCTTTTTGCAGCGGCAAAGTTTAGCAGGGCAACGAGCAATAAATATTGGAGAGGAGGTGGAGAGGTGGGAACTCTCATACACTGTTGGTGGGACTGTAAAATGGTACAACCACTCTGGAAGTAGTTTGATGTTTCCTCAATGAGGAGCAATCTTATAGCATTTCTCCTCAAATAGATGTTTGTTTTTCTGGCAGTCTGTAGTAGATTCAATATACCTTGCCAATACAAGAATTAAAATATATTAATTTCTATTTGTTCTCCTTTATTAATTATCCATATTTTGCATGCATATGGGATTACGGAAAACAGCATGGTACTCTAACACACCTTAGTTGTCAAGGCAGTGACTGGCTTCTTAATATTTAAAGGAGGACCCTTGCAGCTTATTTACCCAATAGACTATGCTTTTTGATTTCTTGACTGCTCCTTCCGCAGCAGATCCATGTAAAATAAATATTTGGCAATTTCAATTTATTTATCAGCTTACCATGTTGTTGCTCATTGGTCCATTTGTGAAGATTTGTTTCATTTTGTTAAAGTGTAATCCATATGAAAGCCCTGGTAGTCTTGGGTCTTCATCAACAAAGGCTTTAAGTTCTCATTCCTTTCAGCAACAAAGGTTGAATCCTTGCGTGGTGCAGATTGCCAATGACAATCTTTCTCCAATTCTAATGTTGCTCTCTCCTCTATATAGTTCAACTTCTTAGATTATTTACATATAGATTAAATAAGTATGCTAAAAGAACACATTCTTGACACGTGTCTTTCTAATTTTAAACCATTTACGTCTCCTGCTCTATTGGAAAGACTGCTTCTGAGTCTATGCACAGGTTCCACATAAGCACAAAATTATGTGTCCTGGAATTCCCATTCATCCTAATGTTACCCACATTATGTTATTATTATTTTCCTTAATCAATAAAACACAGGTAAACATCCTTCTGGTATTCTATGAATTTAGGCAAATCTGACAAAAGTAATGATATCTCTTGTTCTATGTTTCTTCTGAAGCTTGAATTTCTGGTAGTTCTTTATAAATACACTGCTATAATAATTTTTAAATTATCTTTAGTAAAATTTTACCTAATGATATTGTTCCATAATTTTCACATTCTGATGGATCACTTTTGTTTGGAATGGGTACAAATATTGATCTATTCCAATCAGTTTTGCAGGTAGTTGCCTTTCAAATTCCTAGGTATAGACAAGCAAGCACTGTGAATTTACTGAAACATCTCAATTGGTAATCAATTCCTAGGGCTTGGCTTTGCCAGAGCCTCTAGTGAAGCTTGGATTTCCTTCTTCAATATCACTGGTTCTTGATCGTATGCTGCTTCTTGTAATGGCTGAATATCAGCCAGTTATTTATGGTGCAGTGGCCCCATGTATTCTTTCCATTTTCTTTTGGTGCATTCCGCATTATTTAATATCTGGTCTGCAGAACACTTCAGCCTTGCAATCAAAGGCTTGAATATTTCTTTTCTTTTATTCCTTGAGTTTCAGAAATGCTGAGTGTGTTCCTATGTTCTTCCCCTAACCTCCCACCTTTTTTTAAGCTCCAAATCTTCTCATAAATTATTACAATAGTTTACCACACGGTTCGAGGTCACTAGCAGCTCCAAGGGAGAAGGATGACAATCTCCTCCCATGCGATTAACTGCCTCTGAAAACTCGCTGGAGGGTTGGTTATGGGTCCGTTTCAACTCTATGGTAAACAACAATAACAACAAGGCATCTCAAACTGTCCTTTAAAATAATCTGTTCAACTTCTACAGCATCATTTCTCCCACTAGCTTCAGGTACTCTGCACTTAACAGCAAGTTTGAGTCCTCTCAACACAATTGTAAATAAATTGTACACATGAAGAATGGAAGAATGGCAAATGTTTTGTTACATATGTGTTTCTCATAGTTAAAAGGGGGAGGTGGGAAGTGGCATATGAATTAAGGAATTAGTAAGAGTAGAAGAAAGGAAGGGGTTAATGTCATTATTTTTCCTCCTCTTTTTGTGTAAATCATGCAGGACTATAATAATTTCACAGGGTTAGAGTCAGAGTGAATTAGGAGGGAATGTTGGATGGGGTGCAGCTGGGACTGCTCCCCTCTAAGTTCCATGCTCCTTCTGAATGGCTTAGCAGGCCTCAAACCCCTGGCCTCCAGTGAGAACACAGGTCAGAGAATCAGCAAAACAGAGCTCTGGTCCTGCTGCTTATGCCACCATCCCCCATGGTAAGTGACATGATATCTAGACCTTAATTTTATCATAAGAAAAAACAAAAGGATTGAGCCCGAGCAGAAGTCAACAATCTTTTTTTCTGTAAGACCAAACAGTAAACATGTTTGGCTTTGAGGTAATAGATTTTTAGGAAAAACCAGGCCTGCAGGGGTCTGTTACATTGTGGCCAATATAATCAGTACAATTCTTTCAGCTGTGATGAAGAATTTAATTTGGTTTCAGTTTTATGTTTTGTTTTTTTAGAGGAGAGTGGGTTCATTATGGGTGGAGGAGTGGAAGGTGGGTGTGGGTAAGGTGGGAGACCTCACCTTTCTTTACATAGCCATCAGAGAGAAGTCTTAGAGAATATTCTGTCATGCCTGAGTGCTGATTTACAATCTTTTTTTTAATTATTAAATTTTATTAAGTTTAATGAACATTTACAGAGATTTTGGGTTTTCATTCATTCACTGTTGCACTATTTTCTCTACCCTCCTCCCCAGTTCATTCTTCTTTTTTTTTCTTCACCCCCCCTTGAAAGTCTGTTTTAATTGTCCAATTGCCACAGTGCTTGTCAAACCCAGTTCTGATCTTAAAAAATTAAAAAGCTGATATGCACAATAGTGTTGTATTCTTTAGTCAAGGCATTTTGAAAAGATGGTATTTTTTTTTCTGGCTTGTTCCCTTTCTTAAAACAATGCTTGTTCTTTATTTAAAGTTAACTGAAGAATTTTATTTGTAAAATGGTAGCGCTTTCCATATTTTCCTTAAGTTCTCCTGTTGTTGTTAAGTGCCATCAGGTCAAGTACAAGTCATAGCAACCCTATGAATAACAGATCTGAGTTCTGTATCATTCTCATCATCTCTGACACACTTGAGCCCATTGCTGCAGTCACTGTGTCAACCCATCTGGTTGAAGGTCTCCCTCTATTTCGCTGACCCTCTTCCCTATTTCCAAGCATAAAGTCCCTCTCCAAGGAATAGACTCTCTTAGCAACATCTCCTACCTTGGTGAGATGAAGGTTTGCCACATTTGCCTTCAAAGAGCACTCTGGATGCACTTTCTGCAAGATATATCTGCTCTTTTGGGAATCTATGGGACATTCTCCTGAGGAAATCCTAGAAATCCAACAAAACCAAGGCAAGGATCTACTTTCCCAAATAATTCATTGTTGTTGAGTGGATCCTAATCTACAGTGACCCTACAGGGCAGAACAGAACTGCATCATGGTGTTTCTACAGCTGTGAGCTTTACAAGCTAACGCCATTTCTCCCCTTGAAGCAGCTGCTGGGTTCCACCTGCTGACATTGTGACCAGCAGCCAAGCACTTAGACACTTTCCAGTGAGGCTCTTTACAATTCATGACAGGTCTGACATAGGTGTTTA